GTCAATAATGACTCCAAGATCTCTTTCTGCCTCCGTGCTCTCGAGTAGGGAGTTCCCCATTGTGTAAGTGTGCTGCTGGTTCCTACTGCCCAAGTGCAGCACCCTGCACTTGTCCATATTGAAACGCATCCTGTTCCTGTTAGCCCACCCCTGTAACCTATCCAGATCCCTCTGCAATCTCTCACTCCCTGCTAGCGTGCTCACCTCCCCCCAAATTTTGGTGTCATCAGCGAATTTAAACAGGTTTCTTTCCACCCCATCATCCAGATCGCTGATGAAGAAATTGAAATTGATGAAGAAACAGGTTGTTTGACCTGAAAGTAAATGTGAGTGTTCATATTTCCTTGACTGTCAATTAGTTTCATTTTTAGGGCTGGTGTTGTTGGAAAAGTGAGGAATCTTACTTATAATAAGTATATCTAGATCTTACATATCACGGTTCATCAGTACCAAGGAGGTCAGCAGCAATAATCTCATTTTACAGATTGGGAAATTGAGGCACAAACAAGTGAAGCAATTTGCTTAAGGTCTCCTGAATCCCAGTCCACTGCACCATCCGTCGGGTTTCACTGCCTACTGATTTTTTTTTAGGTGTGTCAAAACAGTTAAATCTCCTACATGAATCCATTTCCTTTCCATCCCAAAGGGCGCTAGAGTGCTTTAGAGTGGGCCAAATTCTCATCCCACTGAAGAGAACAGTATTGAGTCTTAAATAAAATAATCGCCTTGCCCACCATGGAGATGAGAAGGGCATATCACTGCTGAGTACAGGGAAAAGTAGTGTATTCTGTTGAAACTTCAGGGGTTGAAATCTTTCCTGGAAACCGGGTTTAACTTCCTCATTCTTATAACATGCTCTATGAAATGTTTAAATAACCACAAGTGATTACAACCTCCTAGTTATGTCTCATCAGAAAGAGGCAGTTCTGGTTTGATTCAAGTGTCGCCCCTGTTCCTTGGGCTGACTCAGAAGGATGCAGGGCAGCCTGAATTCAGTAAGCCCTTGAGAAGTCTGTCTAGCTCCTTTGCAGGAGGTGTTTTTGGTATCTCACCGGATCAGGCCCTTTTTGAGAGCTCTCTTGACTTGTCTCCTCATATAAACCATTTTTGGATTCTTGACTATTTTATGGCTGTTTTGTGCAACAGAACTTTTTTATTTTTTTTGCCTGTGGAAATCTGGAGCAATTTTTTCTTCAACAGATGGATCATATTAACTCCTGGCACCTTTCTTCATCATTTCTTTTCTGCCATTGTATGCACAACGGATGTGGGTGATGTTGAGCAAGAGCCATGGCTGTGCAGAACAGTATTTATTCAGTGTGTCATTAGAAAGGAACTGAATGTTAATCTTTTGACTTTTTGAGGCAAATGCTAAAATGTGATTGTGTACTAAGTGCATGTCTTGTACTAACCCGAAAAAAAAAGCGTACATTTCTAAAAATCTGGATTTATCCTTTTTTCTCTGCTAAAGGATATAAGCTGGGGCCTGAGCTTTGGTGGGAGCTGCTAGACACAGCCGAGATTATAAACTCTTGGCGACATGGAGCATTTTTGTGGTGTGTTTGTGCAGCACCTTTCACAGCGGTGCCCTGGGTGCTACAACAGAACAAATTCAGAGTAACAGGAGTTACTGTAACACAAGCTGGTAATAAGAAGTGTATTTTTTTTATTGATGCTCATGTCACAAAGAAGAAAAGGTTGATCCAGCTTTTGATGAGCTACAGAACACTGCAGCATCTTATAGGCCTATTGAGGCATTACAAGTCCTTTGAGGAATAATAATGACAACCTTGGACGAGGCTGTAACTCAATTAGAAGGCTGCATCTTTTACCAATTTTCTATTGTTTTTACTCATAGAGAAGCAAGAACCTATGCTGCTCTGTGTAATTTTTTACCATAGAAAATAGTCTTGTTACAAACCCTAGAACAGGTACATATACTCCAACTAGGGGAAGGGAGCTGGCTTTTAGTCGGTATGTGCTGCCTTTTGAATTTCAGGCAAGGAGACCTTCAAAGACATTCAGACATTTCCTCCTTTTTAGAGGCCTCAAAACTTCCTCACTCTCCGGGTGGATTTCCAGGAGAGGCAGGGAGGTACAAAGTTCAAAAAGGCCTAGTTCAATAGCAACTATGGCAAGGGACACATGAAAACCAGTCACTTAACTCCCATTCCTTCCTTGGTGCAGCATTGCTGGGGTGTTGAAAACTACCTTATGGGGCAGTTCAGAGCCAAACCTCGGTCCTGAACTCCATGTTTAATTTTGCACAACTGCTCTAACAATGCAGGCCCACCCTTAGCTTACAGTGTTTAAAACGAGGTCAGCTGAGTGACATCAGTGCAGCCTCCAGTATAGATGCACCTATCTCTGTTCACCTTAATTCGTGATCGATAAACCAGTGCCGCTTTTTAAAACATAGGTTCTTCTGTGCCTTTGAAACCCTGTTTTAAGTCTCTGCACACATGCAGGCTAATATAGATACCAACCGATGGGAGTAGTCATGGAGTTTTCTTTTGGTGCACACTAGCTGTGGCTAGACAGGAGCTTACCACTTTCTGGTCCACTTCAGAAACTTGTAGTAGCCACTCAATATCCAGACTTTTTGGCTCCAGGAGGCCCAGCCGGTGGTGACAGGGCAGGGTAACGTTTTCTTCGGCCACCCTCTTAAATTCTGTCTGAGCCTCAGACACCCAAATGTAGCAGAAAGCTGAAGGACAGAAATCAACAGTCAGTGACCAAGATTAACAATACACCTCCAAACCAATAGGTTCACTTGGGTCAGATTTCACCAGAGTGTTCCTCACTTGCATCAAAGAAAATGCAGTAGCTTTGCTAGTGGATCCATTGCAGTGGATTAAAAAGGGCACCTTGAAATAGCAGGTTGGAGTCACCCCGGTGTTTCAGCAGGAAGAACAGGTGGCTTTAGTCTCCAGATTTCTCAGTATCAGATTCAAAGGAAGCTTTGATTAAAAAATTAATACCCAAGTCAAAATAGTCTCACCACTCTGAATGCTCTGCCCCAACATGCAGAGTCTTATATGCACCTGCTAGCTACAAAGCACTTACTCATTTGCCAGACTTTTATCAGCCAAACTGGCCACCAAAGCACGACAGGAGATTACCTAATTCTAAGGAACGGGCTCAGTCTGCAGCTCTGGAAATAAAAAGTCAGGTTGGGCTATAGAAGTCCAGTCTTACATATGGGAGGCCCAGCACAGCACAGCTAGGTGAGTGAATTAGTCCTGAATCCTAGTTTTCATGAATTATAAGGTTATCATAAAAAGAGAGCTTGCCGTAAAAATATGCCACCCTGAACCACTAGAGGGAATCAGATCCTTAGCTTTATTTCAGATCAAGTAAAAGGAAGGAACAAGAACAGCCCTGGGAAAGCATATGCAAAACATTACATTTCGAAAGTCCGTTGTTAATAGCACAGCTCCCTGAGTCATCGTGAAACTCAGCTGCTTTAGGGTTACCTTGTGAACATGAAAGCCCGCCCGGTTCCAGTGAAATGTTGCGTGTGCGTGTGGGCTCTTTTCCCAGTACTGAGTCAGTCTGAAGGTTGGCACTGAAACCATGCAAATCACACGGCCTTGATCGGAAATGGATTGCTAGATGCTACTTTGGCTTTTGATTCGGACTGCCCCAAATTCAGAGGTCCTGGGAGAATGCTTGGCTGTCTTTAGCTCTGACAATGAAATTAGAAATACCATTTTTTTCTCTCTTGAGTTTTCACATGAAGCTTTGGGGTCTGTTTGAACATAATTTTCAAGGCAAAAATTGGGTACACTACACTGCTTGCAGATTAGCCGGCCACTTCCAGAGATCGTTGTTAAGTACAAAGGATGGCAGAAAGATATAGAAGCACATGGAGGGATCTTATGTTCTCTGAAGGCAAAGCCTCCAGATGTGTTTTACCTTAGTGATGCACTTTGCTCTCAGGGGTCGGTCACATCACCGCCAATTACCCATGTGTTTAAAAAGCACATTAAGCAGTCAGACATGTACACAGTGGTGCCACTCAATAATTATATGAATTGGGTTCCCCAAAAGTCGTGGTATACAAAAAGAAACTTCATAACTCGCTGAATCTCTTCAATGAGCTAAATTACAAACTATGCATGTCCTGTAAAATCTCTGCCCCGTGGGTGAAATCATAATTTTTATGCCTAGTTGCTCAGTCACAGGCTCACCCCAACTGCCCTTAGTATTCCTTTTTCATAGATTTTTACTTTATTTTCCTTGAAAGTCCCTAGGACAAGAAACCAGATAAGTAACCCACAAGTAATGCTAAAGGCAACTCCCTCTCCTCTTTTACGCCCTTGCATTCTCACCTTTGCTACCATGCACTTTAAAATGGGGTGGAGTCTTACTGTAATTTCACCTCCCCCACGCTGCTCTCTGCAAGAGCTAACAAGCTGTGTATCAGTCATGCTGACTAGTTTCTTTAAAGGGAAAATTATTTCCCATTCACTGGTGTCAAAGCTTCTAGTGACTACAACAAGGTCACTTTTTTTTCATCTGCCAAGTGCAATTATTTATTCCTTCTAATTATTAATACCTCCTTCCTGCTGTGGCCCCAATTGCTGGGAGACTCCTTTAATTAAGGCACTAACACTCACTAGGTGACTAAACAATTAGCTTAATTGATCTGCCGCTACAATAATTGTTCACACAGCACTGACTAAATTCCCAAAGTCCTTTGCCAGCGAAGTACTACTTCGTGTATAGTCAGGTTTGCGTTCTCTAGCATTACAGCACCTGGTTTTTGTTGCTTTCAAAGTCCTGGGCAGGAATATAGAAAGGAGATCCTTGGCTTTCCACATTTTCCAGGTGCTTGAGCACTTTTTTCCTTCCTATCCGGTTCGGGTTAGGAGGGAGAACATGGGAGTTCTCCGCCAGGATGTGGCTGTCTCCCAGTTGGTGATGGGAGGCATTCAGAAGATACAATGGGCAGATGTTTCAAGACAGGCCTTTGATTTTGGAGGCCTTTAACTCTTGGGTGCCTGATCTGAGATGCGCTGGAACTGATGCACCTTTGTCCTGCACCTTGTCAAATGCTAGGGCAGACTGATTGCAAAGTAGCGGCAAAATCCTGCCAATCTGAATGAAAGAGTTTTTTCACCCCCTTTCCACTGATTCCAGACCGTTTGCACAGCTGTAAATAGCTGGAAAGACGAAGCAGTCTCCATGTCTGAAGACCCAAACATTTAAGGCCTAGTTTTAAAATGTTGGCTGTAGCTCACTGGCAAACAGACCTCACACACTTCCGAAGATCCAGGCACAGCCTCAGACAGAAGCACCATGAATTACTATGAAGTAAGGTGTGGGAAAATTAATAATTTATCTCACTGATGGAAACAGGCACTAAAGACTGAGCCTAAGGATCCCATGGCTTATTTTAATGATTCATTACTGGGTGAAGAACAAGACTTCTTTTAAGTTTTCTACAGCATACAGTGAGAGCAGGCAGGCAGCAAATAGAGAGATGAGATCAAATGAAACCAGATTTTGCCAATTAACATTTTAAGCTGTATATTAAAAAAAAATCTGACAGAAAAGGGCAAGCACCACCTATGGCCCTTCCTAATTTTTTGCGTGGATATCTCTGGGCTGATAAGATTGAATGTGTACTGTTTTACTAGCACCTGCTTAGTACATGGTGCTGTAGTAAAGCAAAGAAAAGTAGGAGCAATGGGCCGCTACACTGCACTTCCACAGCTTCTTACGAGACTATCAGCCACACGAGGGCAGATTCCACCAGTATAAGATGTGCGGTGCCCTGACGATGTAGATTAACAAGCGGTCAGTTCTTAGAGTAGGGGTGGGCCGAATATGGCCCGCAGGCCAGATCTGGTCCTCCAGCTGATTGGGGTCACCCGCCAATCGATTGGATCTGGCCCGCAGCTGCCCCTGCAGTGCTCCGCGTGGGGCTGAGCCCCATTCAGGGCAGCCCGTACCTTGCCAGCGCACACGGCTTACCAGTGGGGCTGCTCCCAGAGTAGCTGCAGGTGCCTGGGTACTGCTCAGCTCCTCTCACCTCCAGGGGTGCCTCCTCCTTCTGCTCCTGCCCCTGCAGTGCCACTCCAGGCGGGGAGGAAGTTTCAGCCAGGTGGCTCCTACCCCAGGGCGTGGGACTCTAGCTCCTGGCTCCCACCAAGAGGGTGAAGTGGGTGGAAGGCAGCCTGGAGCCCCACGTGCTGGGGCGACAGCCACCTGGCTGAAGCTTCCTCCCCACCTGGAGTGGTGCAGCAGGGGCAGGAGCAGGAGGAGCCACGGCTGGAGGCAAAGGGAGCCAAGCGACACCCGGGTGGCTGCAGCTGCGCCGGGGGCAGCTCCACCGATAAGCTGTGTGAGCTGGTTGGGCCTGGGCCACTGAGGGTGGAGCCGGGCAGGGCTCAGCCCCATGTAGAGTGCCGTAAGGGCAGCCGCGGACTGCAATGCCTGGATGAGCTCTCCTGCACATGCCTCCTCCTCCCTCCCCTTACCCCTGGCTAGCTCCCGGGACTTAGCACCCCCCTCTACACCCCTTCCTACGCCTCCCCCCACCACCGCAGGGACCACCCTGCAACCCTGCCCCATGATCCTGGCCTTGCTAACCCCTCTCGCTCTTGAACACCACTCCCCGCAACCCATCCGGGGCCCAGTACTACGTAGGGAGTTCTGGTGAGTTGTTGCAGCCAGGGGAACCGAGGGATGTGGGGTGCTGACCTGGGCTGTGCTAAGTCATCAAAACTCTCTTTGTGACCCCCAGGCCCAAAGAAGTGCCCACCCCAGTCTTACAATCCCATCTCCTACAGAGTCAATATGTAGGGTCTGAATCATACACCTCACCCAGACAAAACACCCAGTGCCCCAAGGTCCCCCATGAACCCTGGCGTCCTATGGCGGTCCTCATTCCAGGTTTGCACAGTCCTGACTCAGCCTCAGCCTCATACCAACTCCCACAGATGCCCTGGGAGGTTTCATCTTTCTGAACAAGAACCATGAGTCTGATGCGGTTTGGTGATTCCTATATTGCACAAGCTTTGACTCTTATGTCTTGGCTCAGAGTCTGTAAAAATGAGCTTGCTGTGTAGCCCCTAGGCTTGCTGATGTGTCACTTAGCACACTGTAAAACTGTACACTTGGCTCTATATTTTTGGTGAAAGAGCTGTAATACTGTATTTAAATGCTTGTACTTGAACCGAAAGACGATGACTTGGTCACTCCCCACACAGGCCCTCCTAACGAAAGGAGAGTTCCTCTTCCATCCCAGGCTAATGTTTTTGTATTAAAATGACTACTATTTAACACAACTATGTAATATACTGGAGATTTACCTGTTCCATAAGGGTACTGTTTATCTGAAAATCAGAAGCAACTTTTTATTTTAAAATATTGAGTGCCAGTTCTTTATGCCCTCTAGGATCTTCCTTTTGAAGCAGTTCCCTGGGCTGAGGCCAATGTTTTCAAACGTGACCCTTAATTTTGAATGCCTCAGTTTTTGGGGGCTCAGTTTGAGGCAGTTGAAAAGGCCTGATTTTCAGGAAAATATCCATCTTCTTGAAGGTTTTTCAGGATACCAGTCTCTCTTTCCTGCAGCTGAAATCAGCAGGATGACCACCACGCTGCTCAGCAAAAGTATGGATGACAGAATTGAGCCCTTCCTTGGTTCACCAGAGCTATGAGGCTGCATGCACATATGGATACATTTTTGTACATGTA